ATGGGAGCTGACAAGTGGTGACATCAGGCTCATAAGTGCTGGGGATGGAACCTGGGGTCTTGTATACACTAGGTAAGCACTTTACCCACCGAGGTCTGGTCACTACAAGTTTGAGTACCTGTACTACTACCTTTTTCCTATTCTAGAATGTCAGACCAAACTACTCTGTCTCCCCACAGGGCGGCCACATGCCACATGGGGAGACAGGGTAGTTTGAGCTGGAGGTCCAGGCTGCTGTCCTTCCCTGCTTCTGAAGGGATGGCTGTCTTCCCCCTGCCCGACCCTGTGGTGGTTTGGATGAGAATGCCCCCCCCCCCCAGGCTCATAGGTTTGAATCTTGGTCCCCAGTTGCTGAATCTGTTTGGGAAGGATCAGGAGGTGTCACTGAGGGTGGGCTTTGAGATTTCCAAAGGCCACGCATGCCATTGCCAGTGAGCTTTCTTTTTCTTGCCCCCTGCTTGTATATCAGGATGTAAGTTCCCAGCTGCTGCTCCAGCGGCATGCCTGCCTGCTGCCATGCACCCCACTACGACTGTCAAGGACTCTAGCCCTCTGAACTGACCCCCAGCATACGTTCTCTTTTATAAACTGCCTTGGTCACAGTGTCTCTTCACAGCAATAAAAGCAACTAAGACAATCTATTTTGTCACTGCCCCGGCCACCAAGGGCTCAGTAGCAGGAAACAAAGTGTGCCAAATTCAAGAGCCAGCTCAGATGGGCGTAGCCCCCTCTGGAGTTCTGAATCTGAAATAGCCTGGGATCCTGTATCCAACACTCCAGATCGGTGACTCATAACGATAATGATCATAATAATCACAGTAATAATAAACAACAGCTTAGCTCATGCCTTGCCAGAGGATGTTGAGTCATAGACCAGTGGCATTCTCCAGTGGTCCTGAGGTTTGTCCTTCATTGGTGTTCTTGTGCACTTGTGTGTGGTATTCACGCATATGTGTATGTACTTGAGGAGGGCAGCGGAAACCTCAACTGTCCTTCCTTAATTGTCATCCATCTTGTTTTCTGAGACAAGGTCACATTGGCCTGGATCATCCCAGTTTGGGTAGGGAAGCTGGCCAACATGTTCCAGTGGCCAGTCTGTCTGCCTCCCCTACACTGGACTTGAGCATGAAGCACCCCACCTGGCTTTCTGCATGTTCTGAGGCTCAAACCTCACTCCCTTCACAGTTGCCTTTGTAGACTCAGCTACCTCTGAGCTGGCTGGCTTGTTTCCCTCTCCCCCATCTCCTTCTCTCCTGCTGGTTTTATTTTGGAGGGGGGGCAGGGTCTCTAAAGTTCCCTTTGTAGGCTGGGATGACCTCAGAGCCCTCCTGCTGTCTTAGTTTCCCAGATGTGAGTGCAGGACCAAGCCTGTGGCTCATTCAAAGCAGGACCAACACCCACTGAACAGTGGAGAAAAGAAGGTACCCTAGGCTACTGGAAGGGCCTGTGTTTGCTCCTCAGGCCCAGAGGTCTTGTAGAACTTCTGCACCCTAAACCTAGCCCTGGCCAGGGATGTCCAAGGGATTTCCCCAACAGGGGCTTTCCACACTAATAGAGGACAAACCCAGGTCAGCTAGACAGTTTTCAGAAATGGGGGATTCCCCTAAGCAGGGCAGGTTTTCAGGGCTTCCCTAACGTTACCCACCAGGTCCGGGAAAAGCCAAGTTAAAAAATTTAAAACAAAGCCCTTCCTTTGTCTTCTGAATTGGAGGTCAGGGAACACTCAGGTCTCTCTCCTGAGAGCTGTGAGGTAGGTGACTTGCTGGGAGACTTTCAAAGAAGGTTCTATGTTGGACATATATGTGAAACCACATTCTCTAGAAACTGCATAGCAACCCCAGCAGAGAAAGAATAAGCTACAGGAAGCAGGGCCTGCAACAGACAGCTCAAGTTCAAGATGCCACTTTGCTGCTGTGTGACCCCATGCAGCATCTTGACCTTGTCAGCCCTGCAAGGGAGGAGACCCAGTTCTGTCCCCAGCACTGAGCCAACTGTAGCAACATGTCCACACCTCAGTGCTAGGAAGGCAGGACAGCAGGCCACCAGAGGCTCATCGACTCGAGTAACTGACCTCTAGGTGCTACTGAGATGCCTGAGTGGGTGATGGCACTTGCCATCAATACTGACATCCTGAGTTCTAGTTCCAGGTACCACATGGCGAAGCGGAGACACTGTGGCATGCATGCTCACAGGCACACACAATAAATGTCAGCAAAATGTTTAGACCTATTTGTGGAACTACTGTTATGAAAAGACGTACGTTGAGACAAGATACCTAGCCCAGGCTGGCCTTGAACTATCTCCATACTCTTGCCTCAGCCCCCCAAGTGCTGGGATTATAGGCATGAACCCCTTACTCAGTTACTATGTGACAGCTCAAACTCCTGTGAGGTTAAAGCAATAAATAAAAATGCCACCCAAGCTAGTCAAAGTAATTGATAACCTATGTTCATCACAGCACTTGGAAGAACAAGGTAGGATGATTGTCACAGGTTGGAGACTAGCCTGTGCTACAGTGAGTTAGTCTCAAAAAATCATGAGAGCTGGAGGAATTACTCAGTGGTTAATACACTGATTGCCCTTAACCTGGTTCAATTCCCAGCACCCACATGACGGCTTATAATCTTTTTCTACTTTTAATTTTAAATATATGGGTGTGTTGTCTGCATGTATGTCTCTACGTGTGTGGATCCCTGCAACTGAAGTTTGAAAACACCAAGGCTGCAGAGCTTTGTGGCTCACTGCTACCCCCTGGTGGATATTCACTCGGATACAACAGCATTCTGGTCAATTCATCCTTCCTTCACTGCCTGCCTGGCCAATCTTTCCTGCTGGCCTGTGTTCCAGGGCTGGTGCTGTGGGCATCACAGGGGAGGAGAGAAAGAAAGACTGTTTAAGTGCTGAAGTTACCTACAGTCCACGGGACGTGACAATATCCACATTGAGGCAGTCTGGCTGGCTAGGTGTTGACAGGCTCAGAGAGATCCCAGAGCCGGGTGGTGACAGCACACACCTTTGATCCCAGCACTTGGGAGCCAGAGTCAGGTGGATCTCTGTGAGTTTAAGGCCAGCCTGGGCTAGAGTGAATTCCAGGAAAGGTGCAAAGCTACACCTGTCTTGAAAAACCAAAAAAAGAGAGAGAGATCCCAGGAATATTTTTGCAAGGTGGTGGTGGCATCAAGCCGGAACAGGTTAAAATGTTCTGGTTTTTTTCCTGTGCAGCCCTGGCTGGCCTGGAACTCACCATGTAGACTAGGCTTGCCTCAAACTTAAGAGATCAGCCAGCTGCTGACTCCCAAGGGCTGGGAATTAAGGTGTGTGCCACTGCCTGGTGCTGAGATCAGCTAGTTGCTGACTCCCAAGGGCTGGGAATTAAGGTGCGTGCCACTGCCTGGTGCCGAGCTGGATTCTGAGTGTCAAGCAGCTCCCAGAGTGCAATGGGCCCTGGAAAGGAGGGTGAAAAGGCCAGACATTTGGACACTTACACTTCTGGCTGAGGGCAGCTGAAGCAGCTCACTGTACCATTTTTTTCAAGCTTATTCATTTGTTCAACTTTAATTTTAGGTTACATCCATATTCTGTAGTATCTGCACCTGTGGAGCTCAGGACACCTTAGAGTGGTTCTCTCCTGCCACCATGTGAGTCCCGGGAGATGAAACTGTGCTAAGCTTGTGCCAAGTGCCTTTGGTGGCTGGGCCATCTTACCAGCTCGCATTAATTGACTGATTCACTCTCTCATATGCCTGTGTATTTGTGGAGTCCAGAGGATGCTGAATGTCCTGCTCAATCATGCTCCATTTTATTCCCTTAGACAGGGTCTCTCACTTAAACCTGAAGGGAGATTAGTAGCCTACAAGCCCTGTCTCAATCCTCAACAGCATTGAGGCTACATAAGTCATGCCCAGCATTTACCATGGGTGCTAGTATTTGGACTCAGGTCCTCTTAGGCCTCTGTAGCAAGAGACATTTTCCAAGAGCCATCTTCCTAGTCCACAGCCTTGAACTCCTGATCCTCTACCTGGGTCCTGGCATTGCAGGTGTGCTACCACACCCCTTTATACAGGGTGGGACTGGAGGTCAGAGTTCCCTGAATGCTACGCAAAGCACTCTACCAACTAGAGCAGTCTCAAGTCACTAATTCATTTTCACTGAAACGGTCTCAGTGGTCAGCCCAGCCTGGCCTTGAACCATGGCCCTTCTGTTTCATTCTTCTACCTGCGGGACGACAGGTGTGCATTGTTTTTTCGTTTTGTTTTTACAGTGCGGGAATGGAAACGTTAAACCAAGCTCTGCCATAGAACTCCAGCCTGAGACCCATTGTGCCCTTTCCAACAGCAGAAAGACTTCCCAAATCGTTGAAGATCTCCTCCTGTGGACGGGGAGAAGGTTCAGCGTCGCAGCAGAGGACGCTGGTTCCATTGCAGGAAGCACCTATAACTGCAGTTGCAGGAGACTACATGCACACACATACACACACACACACCACTCACACATATAAAGCAAAAGTTAAAATCGAAGCCTGGTGTGGCTTGTGCTTTTGATCTCACCACTTGGGAGGCAGAGGCAAGGAATCTCTGTGAGTTTGAGGCCAGCCTGGTCTACATAGTGTGCTCAAGGACAGCCAAGGATACATAGAAAACCTGTCTCAAAAAGATATATGCACACACACACATATGCACACACACAGACACACACAAAATTTAGAGTAAGATGCTCCCCTAGCAGAGGCAAAGGCCCGTGTGAAAGGCTACGTATTTCTAACGTAACCCAGGCTGCCCTCAAATTCCTATCCTTTTGCCTCCATGGAGTGCTTGCTAGGCGAAGAGGGGAAGATGAGGGAGGAAAAGAGGAAGGACAGGCTGAGAAGACGAGCTGGAGAGACACTGATGGCCCAGGACTTCTGAACAGTGAGGGACAGGGCCAAAAGCATGGCTGTCAGGACTCTGGTTCTCCCCCACCTAGGTTCACCCTCTGCCTCAAACAGCACTGAGCCATCGGCATCCAGCACCTGGAACTGTTTATTAGACATTGTTGCCAGTTGCAGGACAGAAAGCTAGACAGAAGAAAAACAGTGACCACAGATCCATAGGGACAGACCCTGCCCATCTGGGGACATGTGTATCCCCAACCCAGTGGGCCGACCCAACCTGGCAACTGCTGCCCCTCCCCAGACCCCCAGGACTTTGGCATAACGCTGATTGGCGGGGAGGGGCTGCAGACAGTAGAGCCCCTCAACCCGAAGCAGGAAGTGTGATGAGCGCTGGGGACAGGCTGGGGAGAAGGGACATGGGGCAAGCCGTGGGCTGGGATGTGAAGGGCAGCAGAAGTAAAGGAAGTCAGGAGCTAGGAACATGGTGTCTAGGTTTCCTTTTCTGAAGAAGGGCCCACAGAGGCCTGCAGGCCGGTGGCAGTGGCTGGGGCAGGTCACGCACTGATGTCTTTCTCGTTGCCCGCTTTGGGGACGGCTTCCAGCAATGGGTCCCCGGGGCCCGCCTCCTCCCCCTCCTTGGCCTCACCAGACTTGGAGTTGGGGACCCAGAGGCCAGAATCGATGCAACGCTGCATGTGGTACTTGGCATCCTGTGGATGGAGAACACAAGCAGGTGAGGCTGTGCCAGCACCATGGTGGCCCCACGGTCCCCTGTGCCTCCCTCCAGGCTGCTCAGCACCTCCTCTACCCAGAATTGTCTACAAGGGCAACTGTGGCTCAGTTGCCAGAGCACCTGCCTAGTGTTCCTGCGGCCCTGGGTTCCATTCCAGCACCACATAAAACCAGATAGGGAGGTGCACACTTGTGACCCTCCACTTAGGAAGGGTCAGGAGATCAAGGTCATCCAGCTCTACAGCACATCTGAGGTCAGCCTGGGCTACAGGAGACCCTGCCTCAAAGATAATCACAAGCACACAAAAAGGAGTGGAGGTGATACCAGAAATATGGCTCAGCAGTTAAGAGTGCTTTCTCCCAAATCATGAGGACCAGAGATCAGATCCAGCACCAAAGTAACAAGTGAGGTATCCTGAGAACTCAGAAAACAGAGGCAGGAGGATCTGTGAATTCAAGGATAGCCTGGTCTACATAGTGAGACTCTATCTCAAAACAAAACAAAACAAAAAAAACCCACGATAAATTAGGATGGGCTGGAATCTTACTGACAGCATCCCCAAACTATGTTTAAGCGCACACTCCCTAAGCTGACCAGTGCTGCAACCCATTCACTGTGAAGAGCAGCTGCACACAGAAAGGAATCCAGAGGTGAAAACAGACAAGAGGGCAGGCACCAAGTCAAGAACAAAGCTCAGCAGAGGTCGGTCTGTCTGTGGTGCTGGGCACAGAGCCCAGGGCTGCACAGAAGCTTTGTGTCTACCACCGAGCCACAGCCACAAACTTGTGAAAAGATTATTTTTCACATGTTTTATTTGTCTGTGCATGCGTGTGGAGGCCAGAGAGAACCTGTGGGAGTCAGTTCTCTCCTTCCACCATGTGGGTCCCAAGGACGGAATGCCAGCTGTCAGGCTTGAGGGCAGACACCTCCTTCTGCAGGGCTATCTTGTAGCCTCCACTTGCTTTTTGAGGCAGGGACTCAGAACGGAGCCCACACTGGTCTCAGCTTCACGAGCCTCCTCCTGCAGCTTTGAGGGTATGCCAGAACACCTGCTTTTCTAATAACTATGCTTTTCTTTTTCAAATGATTTTATTTTTGTATGTATGGGCATTTTGCCTACATGTGTCTGTCTGTGCACCAGCTGCATACCTGGTGTCCATACAGACCAGAAGAGGGTACAGGATGCCCTGGGATTATTGTGAGCTGCCATGTGGGTGCTGGGAATTGAACCTGGGTCTTCTGGAAGAGTAGCCAGTGCTCTTAATCACTGAGCCATTTCGATAGCCCTTCTGGTCTTAGAGACTGGCCCTAATGTATCCTGGGCCTCACTATGTTAGCAGACATGACCTTGATCTCGTTTCTGGTCCTCTTGAGTGCTGGGACTGCTAGTATGTACATGCCACTACTGGCTTTATGCAGTGCTAGGGACTGAATCCAGGTCATCCTGCATGTCAGACAAGTGGTTTACAACTCAACTGCAGCCTCAGGCCTGCCCAGAAAACTTTTTTTTTTTTAAAGACTGTATAGTCCTGACTGTCCTGGAACTCACCCTGCAGACCAGGCTAGCCTTGAACTTAGAGGACCCCCCCCGCCTGCCTTCTAAGTGCTGGAATTAAAGGCATACACCACCACCTCTGGCTCTAGAGTAAATATTTTTGGTTTTATTATTATTATTACTATTTTCTATTATCAACTTGACACAGTACAAATTCTTATCCTAATAGTGAAATTTTTCATTGGAGCTTGCCCAGTGATTGAGTAAAACCAAAACTTATTATAAGCCACAGTCATCCTAGGGTCCCCCCAGCTATGTAGCCTCCCTGGATCTGTGGGTTGGAGTGAATATTTTTGACTCTGCCATATAGTGTCTGGTCATAGTGACTCTGGAGCAGCAGCAGAAAAATCAATTATAAACAATGCAAAAAGAAGTATGGGGCTGGCTGGGCAGCAGTGGCGCACGCCTTTAATCCCAGCAGAGGCAGAGCCAGACGGATCTCTGTGAGTTCGAGTCCAGCCTGGTCTACAAAGCGAGATTCAGGACAGGTACCAAAACTACATAGAGAAACCCTGTCTCGAAAAACAACAACAAAAAAAGAAGTGTGGGGCAGCATTTCAATTACATTTGAGCTACAAAGGTTACTGGTGAGCCTTGCACTAGGGTTTGTAAACTCTGTTCTAGATATTCCCATGGAAGCTTCTAGAATCCCTAGCACTGGTCCTGTGTATAGAATGTTTCCACAGACAATGAAACTAAGGTGGCTAAATCAGAAGCCAGCTGACAGAACTGGCAACAAACCAAGTTGTTAAAATTCAAACCTGATCTGGATGGCTGGCTCAGTGGTAGAGCCCCTGCCTAGAACCCCCAGTGAGTGGCTGGGTGTGGCTCAGTGATAGCCCCTGCCTAGAACCCCCCAGTGAGGGGCTGGGGCGTGGCTCAGTGGTAGAGCCCTTGCCTAGAACCCCCCAGTGAGGGGCTGGGGTGTGGCTCAGTGGTAGAACCCCTGCCTAGAACCCCCCAGTGAGGGGCTGGGGTGTGGCTCAGTGGTAGAACCCCTGCCTAGAACCCCCCAGTGAGGGGCTGGGGTGTGGCTCAGTGGTAGAACCCCTGCCGAGAACCCCCCAGTGAGGGGCTGGGGTGTGGCTCAGTGGTAGAGCCCTGCCTAGAACCCCCCAGTGAGGGGCTGGGGTGTGGCTCAGTGGTAGAGCCCCTGCCTAGAACCCCCCAGTGAGGGGCTGGGGTGTGGCTCAGTGGTAGAACCCCTGCCGAGAACCCCCCAGTGAGGGGCTGGGGTGTGGCTCAGTGGTAGAGCCCTGCCTAGAACCCCCCAGTGAGGGGCTGGGGTGTGGCTCAGTGGTAGAGCCCCTGCCTAGAACCCCCCAGTGAGGGGCTGGGGTGTGGCTCAGTGGTAGAACCCCTGCCGAGAACCCCCCAGTGAGGGGCTGGGGTGTGGCTCAGTGGTAGAGCCCTGCCTAGAACCCCCCAGTGAGGGGCTGGGGTGTGGCTCCGTGGTAGAGCCCCTGCCTAGAATCCCCCAGTGAGGGGCTGGGGCGTGGCTCAGAAGCAGACTGAGTGTGTGGGAAGCATTGGGTCACATTATCGGCGTCACTCAAAAGGGAGAATAAAAGAAAAAAAGCTCAACATTCCCTACTAGATGATGATACACAGAAGGTACCCAACACGCAGGGCCTCTTCAGGAGTGCCGGGCCTCTCCTTTTTTAAGAGAAGCCCAGGAGGGACACTATCTTTCCTTTGTTTCTTTTTGCGCTCCTGGGATGGAACCACAGGCCACACATACCAGGCAAGGTCTACTGAGCTACACCCCATCCTCTTATTGTCATTCTGAGACAGGGCTTCACTGAGCTACTCTGGCTCATCTTGGACTCTTCCTGTCTAAGCCTGGTCTTGAACTCACAACCCTGCTCCTCTTAGCCTCTTGAAATGACAGGCTTGCACCCCAAGCCCAGCCCATCTGCTGCAGAACCTTGGGGACAGGTCTAAAAACACAGGCGCCCTCAGGGCCGCTTATGGGAACTCACAGTGGGATCCATCTTGCTGATGGCGTCCTGCAGCATCTGCACATCCTTCACATCAAAGCACTTCTGCAGCTCCTGGGTAGAGAGGCAGGTGTGAGCTCGGGCTGGTGGGTGTGGGGGAGGGGCGGCAAGGCTCACAGATCACCTCCTCCCTCCTGGGCCCCAAGGAGCTGTACCTCTGGCAGGGACTCATAGACCTCCACAGGGTCCAAGCCACCAGGGCCCAGCCTCTTCTTGCGCTCCTCCTCCTCATACTCCTTCATGGCCTTCTCTATACGCAGCTTGGCACGGCCTCGAACACGCTCCTTAAAGGCCTCCAGTTCATACTTGAAGCCCTCCATGTACTGGTGGTCTGCGGTCTGTGCAAGAGTGGGAGCTGTTCACTGGACACTGACACCCGGGTGTTTAGGGGACGAGGCCCCTGTCTGCAGCTCTTGGAAGCTTTCTGGGGCTCTGAGGCCCTTTCCTGAACTCCTCATGGGCACTCAAGGCTGGACCTTACTCTCCTGTACTCAGCCCCTTCCTACTACCTTGTGGGCCCATCTACGGATGGCCAGCTGCCTGGCCCAGCTAAACAGCAAGGCCTGGTCCCACCCTCACGTATTCTCCAGCAAGGTGTTACAGACACCTCAGTTCTGGATTGTTCTACCCTGCCCTGCTCTCAGGATCCCCAATCTTTCAGAGGACCATGTTCAGTTCCCAGCATCCACACGACAGCTTGGAAACACCAGTGACTGCAGCTCCAGAGTTCCAACACCTTCTAACCTCTAGAGACACTTGCATGTACATGATCCACATAAACTCACTCAGGCACACACCCATCAACAAGAAATAAATGAGTAAATCATGCACACCCAACAGCTTGTCTGACCACTGGACTCACCTAAGGGTAGAAGGAGAGAACCCACGCCAAGGGTTGTCCTCCCATCATGGGGTCCACATACACACCATACAGACATATGCGCATATACACACGTATATACCGTCACACATATATACCACACACACAATTTTTAAAATTAAGAAAGAAATGAACATGGCCATATTCAGCCACTGTCATCCCAGCACCACCCTGAGCCCTCCCGATAAAAGATCTGACCACAGGTCCCTAGTCGGTGTGCACACTGTGGGCTTCCTGGTGGTATGGGAGCCCATACCTTGATCTTGGTGAAAAACTGCCGGAAGCAGGCCCGGGGGTCGACCTTCAGACTCTTGGCCAGCTCCAGAATAAACTGCATCACCATGGTCTGGTGGGCCACCTGCTCCATCAGCGCGCACTTCTGCCAGGACAAAGATGGGTGTCACCCAGCAGCAGTATCTGGGACTCATTCTGAAGCCGGGCCAGGCTCTACTCACCTCCTCCACTTCCAGGTCAATGCACCAGATAACCAGGTAGTTGGCTGTCTCCTCACACACCAGGTGGACATTGTCTGATAGGTACTTCTGGCTGTCGTCCCAGCGGTGGAGCATGCCTGCAGGGAAGGATGTTGCAGAGGCCATCGGAAGCCCCTCCCTGGCCTTGACTGCCAACTGGAGGCCCTGTGCAGGAACTTACCGAAATGTTTGATCTGTTTCTCGTACTTTTCAACGAAGGTCTTGTGCTTCTGCTCTCTTGCCTCCTCCGAGTCTTCCTCTGCCTTCTCAGGCTTGGTATTGACCATGCTCTGTGACAGGGCGAGAGGGCAAGTGGGCTGGGGCAAGGCGGGGGTGCGCCTGGGGTGCGGGGGCCGTGGCCGCCGCGCCCATCCTGTCCACATCGGAGGCGGTGGCGTCGCTAAGTGCATCAAGGTGGCAGAGGCGTGGCCGCGGGCCTTCGGGCAGATCAGAGGGTATGGGTGGGCTTCATTGGCCTCCACCAGCCAATCCCAAGCTCAACCTGTCCCCCTGTGGCTCTACTTGGCTCTCATTGTCAGAATTCTTTTTCTAATTTACAGGGATGGGGAGATAGGGGTGGACCCAGGGCCTTCACAGTTCACACCTAGGTCTAGCCTCCACCACCAAACCATGCCCAGCCCAAGTCTGCAGTGCTCCGCCCATGTCCCACCTTGCTGAAGCCATCTTTGCTGAGGGTGTCCACATTCCAGGGCATGTTCTTCTCCTTCTTGCGCATGTCCTCCAGCTTCTGCTCCCAGCTTCGCTCCTCCTTGCGCAGCTGCTGAGCCTCGGCGCGCAGCCGCTCAAGCTCCACCTGGCCGCTGCCCTCAGCCACTTCCAGCTCCCTCAGCTTGCGCTGGCACTCAGCTACCTTGCGCTTGCATTCACGGCAGCCTCGATCCAGTTCTTCCTTCTCCTTCTGAAACTGCTCCATGCGCTCCACTCGGGCCTGCAGGCAAGGACAGCCAGCAGCTGCTCACTTACAAAGAACAACTTTAGGGGCCGGGCATGGTGGCGCTCGCCTTTAGTCCCAGCACTCAGGAGGTAGAGACAGGTGGATCTCTGAGTTCGAGGCCAATCCGGTCTACAAAGAAGAGTTCCAGGATAGCCTAGGCTACAGAGAAAATTTGCCTTGAGAGAGAGAGAGAGAGAGAAAAGAAAGAAAGAAAGAAAGAAAGAAAGAAAGAAAGAAAGAAAGAAAGAAAGAAAGAAAGAAAGAAAGAAAGAAACAAAAAAACCCAATTTTGTCCCTTGCCCCCTGTCCAGCCACAGCCCTGGGGTTTCAATCTCTGCACTGGACGTGACCCCAGGAGATGGATACACCAAGGTGTAATAAGCCTTGGCCTCCCAACTTCCACCCTGCCCATCATAGAGGACTAGACACACCTTGGTCAGGGACAAACCCCGAACCCTTGCTACAGTCCACATACCCATGCGCCACCTGCTGGTGCCCTGGTGCCACATTTTTACAGTTTTTCATCTCACTAGCAACAACCTCTCTACACAGCTGAGAATGATCCTCCACTCTGATCCTCCTTCCTCTTTAGTGCAGGTGCGAGGTAGAGCAACAGGAACTGGCCATGTGAGGGAGCAGCAGAGGCCTTGCTCAGCATTTTAATTTTGAAAATATAGGCTTAGTTAATTCATTTATTTTTGTGTGTGCGTGCTCACACAACAACACATGAAGAGGAAATGTGGGAGTTCCCCTGTGTGAGCACCAGGGATTGAACTCAGGATGTCTGGCTTGGCGGCGAGAGCCTTTACCCACTGAGCCATCTTTCTGTCCTGCTAGTCCTTGCTTACCATCTTAAGACATCTTGGGTTGCACCAGTACCATCCACAAAACCAAAGTGGTCATGGTGGAGCATTCCTGTGACCAAGCACTCAGGGAAGCTGAGGCAGAGGGCCGAGTACATACCAAGCCAGCCTAAGCAACTCAGCAAGACCTGTCTTGAAATAAAACTTAAGGCCAGGCTGGTAACAAACGCCTTTAACTGTAGCAATGGGCACATGGAGGTAGGTGGACCTCTATGAGCTCAAGGCCATCCTGGTCTACATAGTTAGACCCTATCTCAAAAAACAAAGTAATAAGTAAATGGAGGGCCTCCACACATGCACTCTGGGCGCATGAACAGAAATACAAGACAGACACACAGACACCTGGGTACATGAAGAGACACCACACACACACACACACACACACACACAGAGGAGGCTGGAGACTCTATAGGAGATGACCACAGTGAGATGCTTTCGTAGGGAGGTAGCTCCCAGGGGAGAGCACTGTGCAAGAATGAGCCTGAGTTCAGATTCCCAGCATTCAAGAAAAAATTGTGATGCCTGTAACCCCAGCACTGTAGGGAGCAGAGACAGGGGGATGGCTGGGACTTGTTGGCCCCAGCCCAGCTCCAGGTTCACTGAGAGTGATGAAGCAGGACCCCACATCCTCCTCTGTCCTCTGCATGCGAACCCACACTCATGTGCACACATGACAACAAAAGTCCCCTTACACAGCAGCCCTGGCCTGGGTCATGTTCTCCTAAGGGCTCTGAGGTCAGTACCTCACTGGCCCAGACAGTGGCAGGAAGTTGCCAGGCTGTTGGCATTCTGGAGGATGGCCACCATTTTCCCTAGTGTCCTCTGAATAGCTGCCAGGGAGGCTGAAGCTAAAAAGGGGGGGGGGGGGGGTGTCTGTGGTGTCGGTGATAGCAGCCACCTGCCCGACCAGGCTTACATCTTCCACATGGGAGGGGCCGCAGCAGGCTGACCCAGGCACAAGTAACAGGATGATGTGGGTGTTCTTTTCAGAAGGGACACTGAGCTCCTCAGAATTCTGACACCATATAGCTCATTGGAAGGAGCCAGAAGAAACTCTACATAGCACATATCTGGGCCACAGGGCCTAGGAGGTGGGGCTGGGAACTCACTTAACCCCTTTTCTAACCTCCACATCTTTTTTTCTGGTCGTGGTTCTACCAGGGACAGAACCCAGTGCCCCACACCTGCTCCACGAGTGGCCTGCCACTGAGCTCCACACAGCTTTTGTATTTCATAGTTTGACACAGTGTCTCCTTACATCACTGAGGCTGGCCTGACCTCACTCTGTCTTGTCTAGGCTGGCTCTGACCTCACTCTACATTGTCTAAGCTTGCCTTGATCTCACTCTACTTTACCCAGGTAGGCCTGACCTCACTCTACATTGTTGAGAATGGCCTTGAATTTGTGATCTCCTGCCTCAGCTTCACCAACAGCTGGAAAAACAGGCCAGCACCACTGGGCCAAGTTGGGATTTTTTTATTTCAATTTTTAGTTTATTGTGTACACAGTGGCAGGAACAGATGTGTGCCATAGTGTGTATGTGGAGTTCGGAGGTCAGAGGACAACTTGTAGGTATTAGTTCTCTTTCTACCCTGTGAACAGCAGGGATCAAACTCGGGTCGTCAGGCTTGGTGACCAGTGTCTCTACCTACTGAACTACCTTGCTGGGCCCGTACTGCTTATTTTTAGACAGGGTTCATGTAGCCCAGGCTGGCCTCCACTTACTAGGTGGCCAAGGATAGCCTTGAACAACAACCATGCACTATCACATCTGGCTTTGAGTTTGTCTGGAAACCACAGTAATTACTGTTGACAGTACTTTTACCCCACAAGACACACCTAAACAGTGATGACAGGAACTCTTACCCGAAGAGAATCAGTTGTTAAATACCAGGACACTTACACCAACCCTATGGGTCACACGGCTCCTAGTCACATTCTCAGGAAGAACTGAGGCAGTCAAAAAGAACTCTGCAAGTCACAGCACACCAGGGTCACAGACTGGGCATGTGAACTTGTCAGACCTCTGCTCAGAGCTTATGAATCCAGCCCCATCACAGAGGGATGCAGGAACTGGCAAGGTTAGATCGCACACCAGAACCTGCCCGTCCTCCTACATGTGCTGGGGCAGAAGCCCCACTCCCCTCCTCAGCACTACAGACACCGTGGCAAGACATGAAGCAGGCTCTGTACTAGCAGAGGGGAGGCCTCGCTCCCACCCAGCAGGCCCCAACTGTTCTCCACACAGGAGGAGGACAAACCTCTTCACACAACAGAAACAGGTGTTCCCAAGAATAGTTCTCCAACCACCAGGGGTCTCCAGTGCTTCCTAATCCAGGGCTATGAGCGGTATGGAATATTGTGCTGGCACTCGAGGCCATGCACTGGCAGCTTCCCTGACACACGGTTGTCCTAGGAAAGTGGAAGGAATGGGTGTGCACACGGGTGGAGGATGTATGCAAATTTAGGGACTGGATTTGGGGAAGATGAGGAAGGACCTTCTAGGAGCTTCCAGATAATGAACAGGAGCTGCCCGCCCTCAGGAAGGTAGAGTGCAAAATTCCTAACTTTAAGTACCTGCCTTCAGCTTGAGAGTATAACACACTCAGGGGACAATTAGAGGGCTCAGTGGGTAAAGGCCTGCCACCATGTCTGAAGACCTGAGTTTGATCCCTGAACCCATATGGGAGAAGGAGAAAACAGATTCCAGCAAGTTATCCTCTGACCTCCACAAGGGTACCACAGCATACACATGCACATTTACATATACCTGAATGTATACACAAATGAGTAAAATCTAACTAAAACACAGAGTATAACACACACAGGTCTGTGGCTATAGATGCTTTGATTTGGGAGAGCAGATAGACCACTGTCTCTTTACTGCTGTGCTCAGGATCAAACCCAGGACCTCCCGCACCTAGATAAGGGTTCTATCACTGAAGCACATCTCCAGACCACCCTTAGGTCTTGGTAGTATACTATGTCCTGTGGGCAATGCTGGGCAGAGGAGGAGTGGAAGAGCATGGCTCCAACACACTTGGGATTCTAGGGTCTGAATCTGGGGGAATCTGTTCTGGGTAGATTTTAAAAATGTGTAGACTTTATTTTCTTTGCTTGATTGTTGATAGGATCCCATGTGGACCACACCAGCCTCAAACTTACTATGTGGCTGAAGGCTTTGAATTTCTGACCTTCCTGCTTCTAGCTCCCCAGTGCTGAGACTACAGGCCTGTCCCACCATGACTAGCTTTTAAGCAGTGCTGGGGACAGAGTGCAAGGCAATAACACACAACCGAGCTCCAACCTATTTAGTTTTTGAGACAGTGTCTCATGAAGTTTAGGCTGGCCTAGAATTTGCCATTTAGTAAGGACTGACCGAATTCCTGATCTTCCTATCTCCATCTCCCAAGGTCTGTATTTGCAGGTGTGTGCCACCATGTTCAGCAAGTAAGGTGATGTTGGGATAAGATCCAGGAGGTCCCCCAGTGAAGTAGGATGATCTGAACCCCAGAGGGAAGCCAATGAGGCTGGAGGGGAAAGGGTGGGTAGGGCAGGATGGGTTTGGGGTTCTGAGCTTGGGTTTGGTGAGTTCTTTTCTTTCTGATTTGTTTGTTTTTCGAGACAGGGTTTTCCTGTGTAGCCCTGGCTGTGCTGGAACTCTCTCTTAGACCAGGCTGGCCTTGAACTTACAGGCTTGCCCCTGCCTCCTGAGTCCTGAGATTAAAGGTGTGTGCTACCACTGCCTGGCTCCCAGTTTGGTGAGTTTTCAATGATGGCCAAAGTTCATATAGAAGCCAGGGTGGGCAGGATGGAGTCTACTTACTATAAAGGAGAAGAGGTTCTGGCCGGAAGTTAAGTGGGTGGGGTTTCCTGGAATAGTGGGAAATAAGAGGAGGCGGAGAGAAGAAAAGCCACTGGTTGGATGATGGGTGTAGGAGTGGGGCTGGCGGTCAAATGCAGAGAAAGGGGCTCCACCACTTAAGTCCCGGGTGAGACTGAAGTCCCTAGCGGGGTCTATACTCCAGGGAAAGGGATCTTGGGTTGTGGAATACCAGCTGAAAACTAAGATGGAAAAATTAAGGGTAGGACACAGCCCTCATTCAGTTGGGGAGTTGGGGGGCGGGGGTCTCTGGGCCTTAATGGAAATTAGTGCATGGGATCCTGGGAAGTAGATGCCACAATCAAATCAAAAGTATTATGGATCCAGATTCTGGGGGGTGAGGAGAGGTAGAGGGAGATGTGGAATCAGAGGTGGGCAGACGGCTAGGATGAGGGAGACCCTAACAGAATCTGAGGTCTGGACTCCGAGAAAGAACTCTGAGGAGAAAAAAACAGGTTCCACACAGGATGATGGGGACCCCTACACACAAGGGGTGGCGTTGAGAGAGTCTAGACTCTGATGAAGGTAGTAAGAGCTGATAAGATGGCTCAGCATGTATAGGTGCTTGTTGCAAATTGGGGTGACCTGAGTTTCATGCCCAATTCCAACGTGGTGAAAGGAGAGGCCTGGCTTCAGCCAATTGTCCTTTAATCTACACATGCATGCTGTGCCCCATGTACACAAGACACACAGCACAGTAAGTAAACTAACAAATAAATGTACAAATAATATGAAAGAGACCAGAGGGGGAAAGCCCAGAGATGTAGGTGGAGTTAGGGTTCCCAATGATCCTGAAGTTCTGGGATGGAATTTAAAAGTCCAGCCCAACATGATAGTGCACGTCTTTAATCCCAACACTGGGGAGGCAAAGGCAGGCGGGTCTTTGTGAGTTAGTGGCCAGCCTGGTCTACATAGTAAGTTCCAGGCCAGGCAAGCCTATAGTGAGATCCTGTTTCAAATAAAGGGGAGAGAGAGAGAGAGAGAAGGAGAAAGAGAGAGAGAGAGAGACAGACAGACAGACAGACACCGAGACCAGATTGTGGAATAGAAGACTCCAGATGTCAATAACTGAGGTTCCCCCCACCCCCCCGCGCCAGGGCGGCCAGGGTAAGAGGTCAGAACTCTAGAGCGGGGGGTCCCGGGAGTGGGGGGAAGGGGATGCGCGCGCACAGCCCCACCTGGTGCCGCCAGCGGAAGAGGCTGGCCGTGTCGATGTTGGGGTGCGTCTCGTCCTCATCGTCCGACACCTCGATGTGATCCCAAACGCTGTAGTCCACCATCTTCGCCTCGGAGGCCCGGATTGGCTCCCGGCTCTCCACACGGCCGGGCGCTGAACAGGGACCCACAAGGGATAGAGAGTCCGCTCGCGGAGCCCCGCCCCTTCCGCTTCCGCCCCAGGGCCCTGCGCACGACGGCCCCGCCCCAGCATCCGTGCGTGGCGTCACGTCCTTAGCAACCGGAGTCGGCGGCACTGACAACCGGAGGTGATTCTTAAAGGGCCAGGCGCACGTGGTGCGGCCTTCTGTGAGTTCCCGCCGAAACCCAACCGAATATCCCTTGGGGACAAAAACGGTAGTTGCTTAGGGCTTGGTGGCCCAAGGTAATCCCAACATTTGGGAGGCAAAGGCAGGCGGCTCTCTAAGCCAGCCTCATCTACATAGTTCCAGGCCAGCTAGGGCTACACAGTGAGATTCTGTCTCAAAAGATCAAAACTGAGGCTTCAGGGGTGGTTCAGTGGTTTAGAGCACTGGCCTGTCTTCCAGGGAACCCGGATTCTGTTCCCAACACAGCCTCGCCACACAGCCTTGCCTATCAGGGAACTTCAGGTTCAGGGACTGACCCTGTCTCAAAAAAGTAAGGTGAGAGCCGGGCAGTGGTGGCGCACGCCTTTAATCCCAGCACACAGGAGGCACAGCCAGGCAGATCTCTGTGAGTTCGAGGCCAGCCTGGTCTACAGCGCGAGATCCAGGACAGGTACCACAACTACACGGAGAAACCCTGTCTCGGAAAACCAAAAAAAAAAAAAAAAAGGATCTTGAGGCTGGAGAGATGGCTCAGAGGTTAAGAGCACTGGCTGCTCTTCCGGAGGTCCCAGCAACCACATGGTGGCTCACAACCATTTGTAATAATGAGATCTGGTGCCCTCTTGTGGTGGGCAGGCATACTTGCAGGCAGAACACTATACATAATAAATCTTCAAAAAAAGTTCCTTTTATTATTTTTTTCCTACTTATTTATTTATTTTGAACATAAAAGCAAGTTATAATTCAAAAGTCCAGGGTTATTTGAAACTGGAAAGTATTTTCTCTGTAGAAAATAGTAAAAATGATAACATTTCCCATAAGCCTTTTTAAGCCAAAAAATAGCTGAATTATACATATAAATATTGATTAGATTCTAGGATACAGAAGAAACCTATCTTCATCTGTTCGGAGAGCTATGTTTTCTTAAGCTGTGTAAGTAAGATTCCTATTCATCTTCCCCTTCACTGTTTGATTTATGGCAGACATTTTTCTATAGACTAATCCATAATCTAAAAAGATTTTAGCCTCCCCTCCTGAAAGTACAGCCAGCATATCCTTTCATCAGCTTGATATGGTACAAATTCTTATCCTAATAGTGAAATGTTTCACTGAAGCTTGCCCAGTGATTGGGCAAAACCAAAACCTATTATAAGCCACAGTCATCCTAGGGTCCCCCCTGCTATGTAGCCTCCATGGATCTGTGGGTTGCAGTCCGACTTCCCTTTGCTTTACATCTAGTATCCACTTATGAATGAGTACATACCATGTTTGTCCTTCTGAGTCAGGGTTACCTCACTCAGGATGATATTTTCTAGTTCCATCCATTTGCCTGCAAATTTCCTGATGTCATTGTTTTTCTCTGCTGAGTAGTACTCCATTGTGTATATGTACCACATTTTTATTTTAAATTTTTAAAATTTATTTTACATGCCAACCACAGATTCCCCCTCTCATCCCTCCTTCTCCCCCCAACACCCCTCACCCATCCATACCTCATCCCCCCCCAAAAGGGTAAGTTCTCCCATGGGGGGACAGCAAAGCCTGGTACATTCAGTTGAAGCAGAACCCAGCCCTTGCCCCTGCCTCAATGGTGAGCAAGGTGTCAGACCATAGGTAATGGGCTCCAGAAAGCCAGCTCATGCACCAGGGATGGATCCTGATCCCACTGCCAGGGGCCCCTCAAGCAGACCAAGCTACACAACTGTCTCCCGTATGCAGAGGGTCCAGTCTGGTCCCATGCAGGTTCCACAGCTGCTGGTCTAAAGTTTGTGAGTTCCTATGAGCTTGGTTCAGTAGTCTCTGTATATTTCCCTATCATGATCTTGACCCCCTTGCTCATATAATCCCTCTTCCCTCTCTTTGACTGGACTCCTGATCTCAGCCTGGTGCTTGGTTGTGGATCTCTGCATCTGCTTCCATCAATTACTGGATGAAGGCTCTATGACGACAGTTGGGGTATTTACCAATCTGATCACCAAGGTAGGACAGCTCAGGCACCCTACCCTCTCCACTATTGCTAGTAGTCTAAGCTGGGGTCATCCTTGTGGATTCCTGGGAATTTCCCTAGCATCAGGTTTCTCCCTATCCCCATGATGTCTCCCTCTATCAAGATATCTCTTTCATTGCTCTCCCACTCCGTCCCTCCCCCAGCTCGACCATCCCGTTCCCTCATGTTCTCAACCCCCATCCCCTCCCCTCTGTTGTCCTCCCTCATCCCCAGTTTACTCATGGAGATCTCATCTGTTTCCTCTTCCCAAGGTGATCTGTATGTTCCTCTTAGGGTCCTCCTTGTTTCCTAGCTTCTCTGGAGCTGTGGGTTGTAGTCTGGTTATCCTTTGCTTTGCAACTAGTATCCACTTAAGAGTGAGTACATGCCATGTTTGTCTTTCTGATTCTGGATTACCTCACTCAGGATGATATTTTCTAGTTCCATCCATTTGCCTGAAAATTTCATGATGTCATTGTTTTTACTGCTGAGTAATACTCCATTGTGTATATATACCACATTTTCTTTATCCATTCCTTGATTGACGGGTATCTAGGTTGTTTCCAGGTTCTGGCTATTATGAATAGTGCTGCTATAAACATAGTTGAGCAAGTGTCCTTGTGGTATGATTGAGCATCTCTTGGGTGTATACCCAAGAGTGGTATCATTGGGTCTTGAGGTAGATTGACTCCCAATTTTCTGAGGAACCGCCATACTGATTTCCACAGTGATTTTACAAGTTTTCACTCCCACCAACAGTGGAGGAGTGTTCCCCTTGCTCCACATCCTCTCCAACATAAGCTGTTGTCAGCGTTTTTGATCTTAGCCATTCTGACAGGTGTAGGATGGTATCTCAGAGTCATTTTGATTTGAATTTTCCTGGTGACTAAGGATGCTGAATAGTTCTTTAAATGTCTTTTGGCCATTTGAGATTCTTCTGTTGAGAATTCTCTATTTAGATCTGTAGCCCATTTTTTAAATTGGATTGTTTGGTATTTTGCTGTCTAGTTCCTTGAGTTCTTTAAATATTTTGGAGATCAGCCCTCTGTCAGATGTGGGGTTGGTGAAGATCTTTTCCCATTCTGTAGGCTGTTGTTTTGTCTTATTTACGTGTCCTTTGCCCTACAGAAGCTTCTCAGTATCAGGAGGTCCTTAGAAAAGAATCTTGGAGCTGGAGAAATGGCTCAGAGGTTAAGAGCACTGGCTGTGAGTTCAATTCCCAGCAACCATATGGTGGTTCACAAACATCTGTAATAATAAGATCTGGTGCCCTCTTGTGGTGGGCAGGCATACTTGCAGGCAGAACACTACATAATAAATTAAAAAATCTTTTTTTTTTTTTTAAAAAAAGGATCTTTATTCTTTAAAAAAAAATTTTTTTTTTGAGACAGGGTCTCACTATATAGCCCTGGCTGTCCTGGAACTCACTATGTACACCAGACTGGTCTCAAACTCAGATCTGCCTGCTTCTGCCTCTCAATGCTGGGATTAAAATCATGCCCCACTACGCTGGGCCTGCCCTTAAAATTTTTTTAAATTTACATTTTAGGGGCTGAAGAGATGGCTCAGCAGTTAAGAGCACTGGCTGCTGTTCCAAAGAACCCAGGTTCAATTCCCAGCACCCAATGACAGCTCACAACTGTAACTCCAGCTCCAGATTTAACACCTACATGCAGACAAAATACCAATACACATAATTAAAATGAATCATCAGTTTTATAAAATTACATTTTGTTAAGTGTGTGTGTGTGTGCGCGCACGCGCACAGGTGAACATCAGAACTTGCTGGAGTCAGTTCTTCTCCACTATGTGGGTTCCCGGATCAAACTGAGGTCATCAGGCTTGGTGGCAAGCACCTTTATCAACTGAGCCGTCTCCCCGGCCCCAGTCCTTAATAAATCAATCAATCAATAAAAATGTGTGTGTGTGTGTGTGTGTGTGTGTACGGACCAGGTGCACACTGCAGATCATAAGGTAATTTGCTGGAGCTGGTTCTCTTTTTAGCTGTGGGTCGTCCAGCTTTGGCGGCAACCATCTTTACCACTGAGCCATCTCATCAGCTCCAGTACTTAAGAAAAAAATTTACATTTATTGGCCCGGCATGGTGGAACGTGCCTTTAATTCCAGCACTCAGGAGGCGGAAGTAGGTGGGTCTCTGTGAGTTAGAGGCTAGCCTGGTCTACCTAGTGAGTAGCAGGACAGCCAGGGCTATGTAGACAGAACTTATCTCAAAATAAATCAATATTACATTTATTTATTTATGGGGCAGGCGGCGAGTGCTAGAGTGCGCATGTTAAAGCTAGAAATCAGCTTTCCTGAGTCACTTACCTTTTTCCATAATGACGATCCTAGGGATGAGACTCGTCCTCAGGCTTGGTGGCAATCGCCTTTACCGGTGGAGTGGAGCCTAAGGTTTGAAGATCCTCCCCCTGCCTTAACCCTGCACTGTGTTTGAAAGAACTTTTGCAGTCCGAGAGTTGGTAAGTGGCCGATGTTACAGCTTTGTCATCACTTTGGGGATCAGAAGTGGATGGTGATTGACAAGGTCTGGGGACTTTGGACTCCAACACCATCTCGCGTCACTCGCCACTCGCAGGCACCTGCAGCCCCCTGGAATCATCCAGAATCCCCCACCTCAAGTGTCTGCGTGCACAGCCTCTGGGTGTCGCTGACGTCTAACCAGAGACAGCGTTCCCAGCCCTGCGCCCAGGGCGAATCCGAAAGCACTAGAGGGGGCTTTCCTCACCATCTGAGGCTGCCCACAGCCTCTTCCAGCTCACCTGAGCCCCCGAATTTCCGCTGGGGCTTGAGGGAATCCATTTTTTTTTTTTCTTTTCTTTAAGCTTGAGATTCCCGGGTAGTACATCCCTCCCCATGCTTTGATACAGGATCTAGAAACTCGCGCTGCAGCCTGGGGCCAGGATTATTTTAGATTAAGGGGTGCTACTTGCGGTGGGTCAGGTGGAAAGAGGGGAGGAGAGGAGCTCTATTCATTTGGCTTGGGGAGGGTTCCTCTTCCCAGCTTTTCGGGAGCTGTTGGAGAAGGGACTGTCTGAAGCGAATAAAGGTCTGCAGATTTGGGGGGGGGGGGGTGTCCCCGGCCCATGGAGGGGGAAGGATGGTGGGCATAAAAGCTCCTTCCTGATATGGCCCCTCCCCCTCTCGCTCGTTCAAACTCGAGAGTGGGCGGGCGGGGCGAGGGAGTCCCCCTTCTCCCCCTCCTCCACCAGCTTGGCAGTCCACCACACCAGCAGCGGTCTATCCCAGCCCGGGCACGCGCATGACGGACCTATACCCAGAGGGTCTCCCACACACACCAGCAAACAAAGGGTCTGGACACTTGTCCCCTCCCGGGTCCCGACCCCAGGCCAGAGAGGGCCAGAGAGGGCGGGGCTCCTATCTCCAGCCCCTTTTCCCAGCAAGGTAAGTTTTGGGGTTGGGAGCTGTGTTGGGAAGAGGGGGGAACCCGACTCCCAGGAGGAAGGGCATTAAGATCATGGGATTCCCCTAGCTCTCCTTGTAAGCTGTGATCCCTCCACCCTTGCCTTGGTACGGTTTTGTAGGGTCTCCACCCCACCACTGACTCTGTGTGTGTGTGTGTGTGTGTGTGTGTGTGTGTGTGTGTGTGTGTGTGTGTGTGAGAGAGAGAGAGAGAGAGAGAGAGAGAGAGAGAGAGAGAGAGAGAGAGAGAGAGAGAGAGAGAGAGAGAGAGAGAAACCGTGGCTTTTGAGAATTTTCTGGTAGGTGAGAGGATGTCCCCTAGGCTTTTGACACTGGGGCTGCCTAATGGCGGGGAGCTGGGACCAGGGCTTCGGGAATACTCATCATCACCAAGCATTTCCTAATCTGTTACCAGCTGTGTCCAGCCCCTGGGGACAGGGAGAGACACCAGCCCCGGGTTACTTGGAGCTGTTTCTCTATCTTGAATTCCTGGTAGCTTACCTTCCCCCAGAGGAGAACCCTACGGTGTATCTTGTTTCTGTATCATGCAGGTAAAGGAGAGCTGAGACTGCTTTGGGGCTGGGCTGAGGCTGGGGGTGGGAATCCTTGCTGCCACACCACTTAACTGCATCCAGATCTCAGAGATCACCGGGTTCATGTGCATTTCTGAGCCTCTATTTCTTCAGCTACTTAAAGGAGCAACTGCAAGCTGAGACTAAAGCCGGCCAGGAGCCCAGCAGCCTTTACTCCCTGGTCCATTTCCTGTTATTTCATTCCCGTTCTCCAACTACCTGCAGTAAATGCCAGCCACTGGCCAGACCGCAGTCGCAGCGAACGGGAGATACAAGGGCCAGGGAGCAAGATCCAAATATAAACAAGTCTTTGTATATAAACTTGACCATCACCATGGAAATTCTGCCAGGAATGGAGGAGACCTCCCAGCCCTTGGCAGGTAGAGGCAGGAAGGAGGATCAGGCGTTCCAGGCTGACAGTGGCTGCAAGGGGTTTGAAGCCAGCCGAGGGTTCAGGAGATCCTGTCTCAGAAGACAAAAGTCTGTCCTGGCATGGTAACCCTCACCTTTAAGCCCAGCACTCTGGAGGCAGAGGCAGAGGCGGAGTGATTGTTGTGAATTCCAGGGAAGCCTTGGCTACAGGGTGAGTTCCAGGACAGCTAGGAACACATAGTGAGACCCTGAAAAAAAAAATCCTGATTAAACTAAGGAAATTAAAATTCAGACTAGATTCAGATAATTGGGCAACAGGAAAGAGGATTGTCATGAACCAATTAGTCACTCCCCCCTTTCTTTTTCTTTTTTCTTTTTGAGACAGGGTCTCACATAGCCCCAGCTGGCCTTAGACCCCTGATCCTCCTGCCTTTACCCCCTGACAGCCGGGATGACGGGTGCTAGCCATCCTGCCTTGCTCTCAAACACAGGAGTTGAATCATCATCTTATGAAAATGAGGAAGGGGCCGACAAGATGGCTCAGTGGGTACAGGTGCTTGTTCCCAAATCTGAAGGTCTGAGTTACATCTCCAGGCCCCACATGGTGGAGGAGAGAACAACTCCCGTCTCCAGGCGTACACTGATGGCGTGATGGCTGTACATGGTCATCTTTCCCTTCCCCACATAATAAAGAAAGGTCTTTTTTTTTTTTCTTTCTTTTTTTGAGACAGAGTTTCTCTGTGTAGCCTTGGCTGTCCTAGAACTCGATTTATAGACTAAGCTGGCCTGGAACTCACAGAGATCCACCTGCCTCTGCCTCTGGGGTTTAAAGATGTGCACCACCAACACAGACCAGTGCTCACTTGAAAAAGTGGAGAAAAATAAAGTAGAAAAAGAAGTGAGGAAGGAGCCAGGCACAAGGTGCGTGCCTAACCCCGTACTAGGTAAGGAAAGGCAAGAGTTCCAGGTCGGCGTGGGGCATGTGGTGAGAAGGCCTCGGAAACAAACAAACGAACCAAGACCAAAGGGACGGTTATAGACAGTTCCCGAAGGGACCCTATAGAGATCCAGTTGAGCCCAGGGCCTGGAGGACTGAGGGGACAGGAGGAGGCCTTCGAGGGCCACATAGCAAGGCCTGTCTAAAAACAAACCACAACCGACTACATTCAAAAGCTGGTGCATGAGAGACAGATAGGTAGATGCTTCTGATTGGATACCCAGGGGGAATGGCTACAGGAGGTGCATTTCTCTGCCAACACGCGGGCTGTCTAATCCAGGCAAAGCTAGTCACGCTACTGAACATATCCGCAGTAGAGACTGGGACTCTGCTGTGGTCCTGGGTATTGAGAGACTAGCAAGGACCTAAACTCAGGACCTGCTTTGTTTTCTCTCTGCAGTGATGGGACTGGAACCCAGGGCTTTGGGGATGCCAGCGCTCTGCCACTGAGCCCTGCCCCAACCCAGAACCTACATGTTAATGCATATTCGATTTCCTTCATTAACACATACTAGTTATGCATAATAGCATTTTTTTACACACATGCACTTGTGCATTTCGATCAAAGTCACCCTCTCTTGACCTGCTCCCACTGACCCCTTTTACTTTCATGTCTTGTTTTTTTTTTTTTTTTGTGATCCAATGAATTTCATTATAGTTGCTTAAAGGAGCTTGGGCACCTTACTGGCAGGGAAACATCTCTCCCTCCCCCAGCAACCATTAGCTGCTATAGATCCTCAGGGAGGGAGGAATCCACAGGAGCCCCCCCTCCTTTTTTGAGACAAGGGGTCACTAGGATGGCCTAGTAGCCCAGGGTGGCCTTGAACTCGTGATCCTCTTGCCTCTGCCTCCCTGTTGCCAGGACTACAGGGGTGCACCACCACACTGGGCTCTGACTTCGCGTTAAATGATTTTGTAATGTATTTTCACGTTGTGTGTCTGTGTGTTTACACACTCACACATAAGGGAGTCGGTTCTCTCTGTCCACCACGTTGGGTCACAGGACTGAGCTCAAGACATCATCAGACACCTCTGCATGCTAAGCCATCCTGCCCACTGCAAACGCACGTCTCTAACCACTGGGAAATACTGCTTTCTGCTGCATCCACACACGAGTCCCAAACAAGCACACAGCAGGGCCACTTAGCCATCCATCTAGCCGTCTGCCCAGTCCACTGATGCGGTGCTCTTCTGTCCATTCTGTAGTTTGCATAGCTGTCCTGAAGCTGTGATCTGGTCTCAACTGGGCAACACTGAGACTCACAGAACATCCATCCCAGAGTGCACTGCACATGTCTGGCTATCCAGGAAGCCGCACACAAATGTAAACACAAGCACACATGCCCGGGGTTCTTGAGAGGCCTTCACAGGCCTGCTTCCGCTCTAGATGTGGAGCTAAGGTGACAGCAGATGCTCTGGGCTGTGGTGTGAATAGGGGCTCCAGACAGGGCTAGTGAATGATGTCTGACTCGGCGGTAACAAAAGAAAAGTACAGTGGAGAACAGATCCTCCTGGTGCCCTTCAGTGCAGTGGTTGAGGGCAAACAATTCCTAACTGCCATGGAGACCTGTGATCCCTGCTACTCGGCAAGCAGGACACACAGACACACAGACATACAGACACACACAGACACACACACACACAGACACACACACACACAGACACACAGACACACACACACACAGACACACACACACACACACACACACACACACACACACACACACACACACGGACATGAATAGACACTCAAAGCCCAGAGCAGCCTGCTGTACATCTGAACACCTTCCCATCCAGGATACTGTCCAGAGAAGGAAGACTTGGGATTCTCTGTTTTGCTCTAGGCTTATTTTTACAAAGCTTTACATTTCAGTGGACAGAGCTGGATGTGATGGGCGACACCTAGTCAGAGGACAGCAGATGCAGATCAATGAGAGTAGGAGGTCAGTCTAGTCTACATACTGAATTCTAGACCAGCCAGGGCTACAAAAAAGAGATCCTGTCTACAAAAGCCACTGGCATTTCTATGGACAACAGGAGGGGGTTGGTCTCCACCCTTCTCCACTCCATTCTTCATTTGACTCCATAAATGCTGTTTTGTTTTTTTGTTTTTTTGAGATAGGGTCTTATACTGCTGGAATTATGTATATCACCATGCCATTTTATATGGTACTGGGGTTCGAACCCAGGGCTTTGTGCATGAGGCAAGTACTCTACCAACTGAGACACATTCCCAGGACCGTAAGTCCTTACTTAGTGTGTACCATGGGCTGCTACAAGCATTTGGGATAGAGACAGTAGTACAGCCTAATATATATACTACAGAAGATTTCCATGGCCTGGGAAAACACCAATGCAGACACAGTCCATGCTCAAGATGATCAAGTATTCAAGGGCTGGGGTGTGGCTTAACAGTAGAGACCCCACCTAGAATCCTCCAGTCAGGGGATGGGGTGTGGCTCAGTGGGAGAGCCTCTGCCTAGCACATAAGAGACTTTGGTTTCATCCCTGTTACTTCAAGGGGGGGGGGGGGGGCGGGGGGAGTCTGGGAAGGGAGTCTGGGCATGGTGTCACACACCTTTAACCCAGCACTTGGGAGACAGAGGCAGGTGGATCTCTATAAGTTCAAGGTCAGCCTGATCTCCACAGTGAGTTCCAGGACAGCCAAGGCTACACAGAGAGACCCTGTCTCAAAAAAAACAAAGTAAATGAATAAATAGGTAATTGAATAGCCACATAACTTATTGTAATATTATAAGTCTAAAGTAAGGCAGGCCAGATGGGACAGCAGGTAAAGCTGTTTGTCACACTAACCAGAAGACCTGAGTTTGATCCTGGTATTCCATGGTGGAAGCAGAAAATCAATTCCTGAAAGTTGTTCTGTGGCCTCCACATGTGAGCGGAGGCATGTGTGTGCACCCATAATCTTATAGTTCATACACACAATCACACGCACACAAATAACAATAAAATTTAAAAGATAATTTAAAATTTAAAAGTTAACACCAACAGTATAAAGGGATCCAGGATTAGAAAGAACACAGAATGTTCTGAGATGCTTTCTAGGTGGCAAGGAGAGCATGTGCACAGGCCCTGAGGTCTGACCACTTTCTAAATGTGAGGAACAGCAAAGAGACGAACAGGGCCAACCACTCTGAATGTTTTATAGTCTCTCAAGTACGTCTGTAGTCTGTGAAGCAAAATTACTGTTTTTGTTGTTTCTCTGGCTGTCCTGAAACGCACTCTGTAGACCAGGCTGGCCTTGAACTCACAGAGTTCACCTGCCTCTGCCTCCCAAGGGCTGGGATTAAAGGTGTGTGCTACTATGCCCAGCTCTAACAATTACTATTACACTAAATGGGAGGGTGGCGAGCATTCTGTGAGTGCCTGGAAAATGTGTTCAGAGCATCCCATGCCTTGTCTCCTTTTATCCTCACATCAACCTCAGCTTATCTGAGCGAAACAGAACTTTATTGTTATGGGTTTTTTATGTTTTTTGTTTGTTTGTTTTGTTTTGTTTTTTCAAGATAGGGTTTCTCTGTGTAGCTCTAGCTGTCCTGGAACTCATTCTGTACACCAGGCTGGCCTCAAACTCAGAGATCTGCCTGCCTCTGCCTCCCGAGTGCTGGAGTTCAAAGCATCTTCTACCACTGCCTGGCTAACTAAACAGTACTTTTATGTTACAGATGAAAAAACTAAAGCCTAGAAAGGCTGGGTGATTTATCCAGGGTCACACAACCAGGAAGCGGCAGAGGTAGGGTTTGACTGTAGCCATGCGGAAACGATTATAGACTACTCTAGGTATCACACTGCCAGCTCTGTTCTCTATGGGACTGAGCATGTTTAGCTGTGTACATAGAAAAAAAAGGTGTGTTTCTCCTTTCCTCTCTTCCTTCTTTCCAGAACCTGCAAAAGTGAACCTTTGTAGCTCCACTCCTTCCTTCCCGAGCTTTCAAAAGCCAGTGTATTATCAGACTGTCTTGCAGCTACACTAATTCTCCTCCTCCCTTCCTCTCTCCCTCCCTCCCTCCTTCCCTCCCTTCCAGAGCCTTTAGAAGTCAAAACTAGGTGACTAGAGAGATGGCTCAGCAGTTAAGAGCACTGGCTGCTCTTGCAAAGGACCCAGGTTCAATTATCAACACTCACATGGCAGCTCACATCTCCCTACCTGTGACTCCAGAGCATTTGATGCATGTACATGGTACACAGACCTACATACAGACAAAACACCTATACACATAAAATGTAAATAAAAAATCTGACTTCCATATGCACCCCCCACAGGTTCACACACATGAAAACCAAAATGAAAAACAGAACATCAGAGCCAGATGTGGTGGTGCAAGCCTTTAATCCCAGCACTCGGGAAGCAGACACAGGTGGATCTCTGAATTCAAAGCCAGTCTGATCTACAGAGTGAGTTCCAGCATGGCCAGGGCTACATAACAAGATCCTTTCTCAACACCCCCCCAAAGCAAAACTATACTACCAGACACTCTTGAAGGTTCCTCCCTCCCTCCCTTCCAGAGCCTTCCAAACCCAGTACTGTTCTATCAGAATCTCCTGCAGTTACACTACATCCCTCCTCCCCTCCCTTCCTTGTTTTAGCATTCTCTGAGTCTGTCTGTTGGAGCCTAAGGAGTGGGGTGTTGCTTCTCCATACAGTCAGAAGATATTCACATTCAGCTCTTCTAACAGTTCTTGCATCA